CTGTTACAATTTCTTATTCATTGTTCCTCATACATTTTGCAGATGAAGCATTCGTTGCGTTGTGATTGTCGTTCACTCACTGAAAATTCTGTTATTTTCAGGAATGTATTCAAATTGAATTTCACCAGCAGTATCTTAATTTTCCGTTGTCATCTTTAATCATTAAACAATGATTGCTTCAGCACATCACTTCATCATTCCATATGCAATTCTCTGTTCATTTTTGTTTCATTCGCAGTGAATGACAATTCATTAGCATAATTCAATAGAATCGAATGCACAAGCTCATCACTTTTTACCATATATATCGTCGAAATTACCGATGACATTTAGATAAGATTTTTTCGATTCTGTACAGACATTTCACAATCAATCAATCTTAAAATGGTGAATTCATCGAAACATCAAATGCACAAAAGGTTAATTCACAAATAAATACATAGTTACTTTGAATACATACTCGCATACGTTCATCCGGTGAATATTCAGTGATTGACGCTTTAATACCACACAATTTTCTCATCAAACGGTACATAAATGACTTCAACATGAGCTGCATTGCTATCAAAAAGCACTTTTTGAGTACGGCAACAATTTGAGTTGCTAGAGTTTTAAAATTCATTTTACAACCACGTCATTTAACAAGTTAAAAAGTTTTCGAAACCGCGTCATTTAACAAGATAAAAAATTTTTCCAAATGCACTCCTGGATAAATGTTTGCAAAACTGTGAATAGATTCAACATGGTGTTACTAGAGCATTGTCGTATGCAATTGCCAAGCAGAAATAATCACTTGGGCATGCAACTCCGCTCTTTCATTCTCAATATATTGCTAGTGATCGCTGAGGTTAAGGGTAAAACACGTAACAAGCAATCTATTGGACTGACGGTCGGAATTCAGATACCAGGAATCGAATTTTCAACAAACAGATTCGATCGGTTTCCAACCGAAATCATTGAAGTTCGATCAGAATATCGAATTACAGACTCTGTAAAAGTGCGTCAAGTCAAATTCTGACCGAACAACAACTACACTTAACTTATCAAAGTGGTAACCATCAATATACTGAAGTGATCAAAGAGGTTTGAAGGCATAACAAGTAACAAGATCATTGGATGTTTGACAGTATTTGTCTGTGTATGCAACATATGAGAAGTCACCCAGCGCACAGATCACATTGAATTTTGTGGAGAATTTCTCCTCGAGTGTCTTCTGAATGGAACGTTTTGATGTTGTCGCATCTTTGGTGAGATTCTGAAATGAACGAGGAATCAGAATCCGATGACGAGTCACTGATTGAGCAGTGAGAAGCTTTATCGATGAATTCGTTGATTAAAGAAAATTATCTATTCATAGGGCTGAACACCGTTTAAAAAACATTCGAAATGTGCATTACAAATATTTCATGAAATGTTCATTAGCAACTGACTTACCTCGATCATGAGTGTTTTGATTTTAACATCGTTGCACAAAGGATCCTCGATGTCGTTCTCATCCGAAATATTCTTCGACGAGAATATCTTAGCGCCGTGCATTCGCACATATGGACTGTATTGACATGGATCATCACATTGACAGCAACAGTCATGTGCCGGTGCCATTGTTTGATACACCTCTGACTGAGCGTACTGAACAGCGATTCATTACTTTTGTTGGCCCAACACAAAAGATAACTCACTGCACAGTCATTAATTTCGAGAAATGTTATCAAGGTAGTGATTGAGATCATTAAACTCATTCAGTTCACATACAACCATTCATTCTGTTCAGAAGACTCTTCGACTCTGTCATCAGCAATGAGATAACCCAATGATTCTCAAACGAATACGCAATGAATCATTTGGATTTGATTGAAAACTGATAATGAAGACGAGTACTATGAGAGAATAATGAATAGAACAACGCACATCGCGCATCATGAACTGAATCAAACGAAAACGGATGTCATATGAAGCCATATGAATTGCCTCATTACCATACTAATTGCATGCTATCAATGGGATCATTGTTTTAATGAAATAGAAGAAAACATACCGGACAAATAACTGGTGGCGGTGGGGGTGGTGGAGGGAAACATATTGGCGGTGGAAGGGCAGGAAG